TGAATAACCAAAAATGTTATAATATAAAAAGGTAAATAAAAAATTTAAAAGTTTAAGAATTAAAAAATTTAAATGTTAATAGATTAAAAAATTTGAAAAAGTAAAAAATCAATAAATAAATAAAAATATTGTGACTCATGATCTTAAGAGTAATATTTACAATAGTTAGAGATGTATCTAATTTTTTAAGTAAGCTATCAAATAAAGGTAAACTGGGAAAATGTTTTCATTAATCCTTTCCTCCTTTTTTTTTTAACCCGGTAGATATCCAAGACCCTAGCCGAGGGTCTTGGGGTAAGGGCCAGGGAACACCTCACCTGTTTATTGAGTAAAAAAGAGTACAAGGAGTAGGAGGACTATACCAACGCCTACTAACAAATTTTTATCAAAATTCTTCCTTCTCCTTCCCTTTCCTTCCCTCCTTGATCCTCCCCTTCCCTCCCCTCCTTTGAACCAAACAAGGCCTTATGTTTAGTCTTGAAGAATAGTCGGACTCAAGGAAGGTAGTCCCGGGTACATTCCTCTGAGGGAAGAGTGAAGAATATAACAAGAAATAATGACATAAATAATACATGGGACCTTCTAATGGACAAAAATCAAACCTATCTGAATATAGACAATAAATAGACTCGTTATAAATGACCAGACTAATAAATTACCCTCTTCTTTTTCGCATATGTACGGTCTTCCTATTGCGCTTCTTCTGCATTTGCTATAACTGCGCAACAAACCTTCATCCCAGGCGCACATCACCTCAACCTCGCACGTCCTGTCAACCTCCGTCATACGCCGCCACAGGCCCTCTCGAGCCCCGTTGAAAATGATCCAACCTGATCATTCACTTATTATCATTTGAATAAGTCTTGATGCTTTTACCTATTGTGTAGGACTTAGGAGTCATTATCACTTAGTTGGTTAAGTTGTTGAACACGTTTAAGTGTGGCTACAAATTAGGAAGTAGTTATTCACTTTTGTGGTTAATATTTCATGTAAAATGGCTATATTAAGCCTATGGTTTTTTTATTCGAAATATATGAGCTTTAGATTGCCTTCTTCTCGTTCTTCTTCGTATATACGTTCATAGCATTCTCCTACAAGCTCATCCCTCTCTCACTTTCTCCTTGTTTTTATGTTCGTGCGCCGCCTAATCGCTCAGGCCATGGTTTCACATCGACGTAAGGTTGATTTGGACGGTCGTGTGGTTGATATGGGCGGCCGTGTGGTTGATTTGGGTGGCGGCTATGGCTATGGGGTGGGCGATTGGGATGCTGGAGAAAGGGCTAGGGCTTGGGAGGGGGCTGGTTCGCTTCAAGGTACGTTCTGGGAAGGCAACAGTCACCGTCAGGGAGGTGGCGATCGGGAGGGCTTGACCACTGGGGGCTAGGGAATCTGGGGGGCGGAGGCCGGTGGGGAGGAGTGTTGGGGCCTAGGGAGGGTAGGCTATGGGACGGGGGCTCACTGTCGGGCAACAACCGCGGTGGTGGCCTGGGGGCTGGCGGTGTTGGCCTGGTGGCCTACGGTGGTTGCTACCCGTGGTTCTGGCCGTGTAACTATAACATGTTGGTCCGGGTAACTGTAACTGGTCAGTTCGGGTAATTGTAACTCGTAGGTTCGGGTAACTGATGTGTGTTTTCTCGCACTTAAAATAGTTGTAGAAAAGCGGTGGAAAGTATGAGTATCGTCTCCACAGGGACGGATAAAAGGGAAATAAAAATTAATTAAATTTCAGCGATTAAAAAGAAATAAATAAAATAAAATGCAATTGTGCGAGATTGATTGATTAAAATAAAACTAATGCTAATGAGCAAGTAAAACGATTGGTTTTTCCTTAATTAACGACGAAGGGAACGAGGATTGATTCCGGGGTTAACCAGATTTCTGGCAGAACGGGCCTAATTACATGAATTTAATTTAATTGAGTCTATCTAATCATTACTAAGTTCTTACCGCTTTTGCGGCGAAGAGTACAATAATTTAGGGGTCCAGGCTGATCTCTCATGCGACATGATCCTAAATTATTGCCAAGACGAGCGAGCTTACGGCCCCTTAATCGCTACTAATCTCTTAGCGAACGATTAAGTGTGTGTGAATGTGTCCTAGAACAAATTAGATCTCTCTTAATTCATTCTACATGCAATTGTAATTCTAGTCGCGATTCTAGGTTACAAGAGATATCAGTTAAATTATTCAAACACAAATTAAACGGTATTCATGCAATTAAACCGACAAGAATCTAGCCATCAATCATGATTAACCCCTTCATCAACCCCAAATCCCTAATTAAACTATTCACGCCTCATAATTGACGAATCAAAAGAATTGGGATGAATAGAATAAATTGTCATTAATTAAATGAATTGAATTTACAAAGAATCACAGGTTCTCGAAGTAAACAACGTAAAAACGCAGGTAAAACTCGTCCTAGGCCTCTCCACAAAGTTCGTAACCTCGTAAAAAGGGGTATGGAGGCCTTATTTATAGAAAACAGGAGAATTTGAGCTGAAATAGGACAATTCGGGGCCAGACACGATGCCAGGCACGATCGTGCCTGGGATCGTGCCTGCGGAGCATGCGCGCGTATTGATTGCAGACACGATCGTGCCTGGCCAGAACACGATCGTGTCTGGCTGGCAGTGTCTCGGTGCGCAATCCTTAATGCAGGCACGATCGTGCCTGCCCTAGGCACGGTCGTGCCTGACCTTTTCTTCATCTTTTTTCTTCGTTTCTTGCTCCGAATGCTCTCGAATGCCTACGAGGTCGATCCAAATTCTTTTTCTTCATCAGAATTTCATCGTGAATCTCCCGGTGACCTCCAAATCTCTCAAATCTTTTTTGAATGCCTTCAAATCCTTCCCGAATGCCTCTCAAGCGCCGATTGCCGGACTCTAACTTCTTCAATTCAACTTCAATTGCAACAAAACTCGACCCAACGCCTGCTAAACACAACTTGAGCCAAAATTGAGTCTTGCAACGCCTTAAAGCTAGAAAAACCATCAAAATCCGACCCGAACACACATCAAGTGCGTGTCTAAATACGGACTTATCAGTAACTATAACTGATCGGGTCAGAATAATGCAACTAATTTGGTCAATTTGTTATAATTGGTCGGGTCAGGTAACTGTAACTGGTCGGACGTGTAACTGTAACTGGTCGGGTTAGGTAACTGTAATTGGTCGGATAGATATCTGTAATTGGTCGATCGGGTCAGGTAACTGTAATTGGTCGGATGGATAACTGTAACTGGTTGAGTTGGATAAAGGTAACTAATCGTGTCAAGTAACTTGCAAATCATAACCGGATATTTATAACCGCGACAGAGGTATGAAAGTCAAACACCTCTTTTATTGGTCGTTGACGGCTTCCTGGAGATTGATAGGAGCCTATGAGGAATGCTACGTACTACTACGTATTTAGCAAGGGTATGTCAAATATTTCCTCTTTGTAAAACAAAATCAAATATTTCCTCCGAGATTTTAAATGATTCCAACGGATGGTCACTTTTTTGGAAACCAATAAAAAGAGTCTTATATTTGTCCAAATGCTTTTAATTAGTATTATTCATGACCTAACCCCCAAAAGGCCAAAAGGGAGAAGAGAGAATGAAGTACCTATGGTTGGCAAAAATACCAAAACTTCGGTATACCGCATTTACCATATCAAAAAATACCAAATTTACCAGAAATGTTTGGCATACCGGCCGGCGGCCGACACATTCATATTTTCAAAATAAATGATATCACAATATACTATCATACCTAAAGTCCGAAGTAATAATTTTTTGAGAAATGGTTCCAAATAGGACCGTAGCTTACCTAATAGACCTAAATAGGGCTCTAATGTTTTTTATACTTAAGGGAATGTTTGCAACTGCTTCTGCTTAAAAAAGCACTTTTGGAAATGTAAGGAAAAAGTGATTAGTAGTAAAAGTTGATAGTGTTTGAGAAAAAAAGTGATTTTGAAAAGTAAAAGTAAAAGATGAAATTACAAATAATCTCAGGGTTCTTGAAGAAAATAGCGTAAAAACGGTGTTAAATTCGTCCCTAGGCCTCTCCGTAATGCTCGTAACCTCAAAATAGGAGAAGGGAGACCTTATTTATAGAACGATGAGTTTTGGTTGAATTAGGACAAAAAACGGGGCCAGGCACGGCGTGCCCATGGATCAGGCATGACTGTGCCTGCGGAGCAGGCCCGTTATTTCTCGCATCAGGTCAAGGCACGGCGTGCCTAAGGGACAGGCACGACGTGCCTACCCATTCCAGCTGCCCGGTACATGTTTCTTCTGCAGGCACGACCGTGCCTAAGGGCTAGGCACGGCGTGCTTGGCTTTCCAGCGACCAGGTACACTTTAACACTGCAGGCACGGCGTGCCTAAGGCCAGGCACGCCCGTGCCTGCCTTTCTTCTTCTTCAATTCTTGTCTTTTCTTGCTCCAAATGTTCACGGATGCTTCTTCGAACAATCCGAAGGTCGTTTCTTCATCAAAATTTCATCATGAATCTCCCGGTGACCTCCAAATCTCTCAAATCTCTCTTGAATGCTTTCAAACTCTTCCCGATTGCCTCTCAAGCGCCGATTGCCGAACTCTAACTTCTTCAATTTGACTCCAAATGCAACAAAACTCGACCCAACGCCTGCTAATCACAACTTGAGCTAAAATTGAGACTTGCAACGCCTTGAAGTTAGGAAACCCCTCAAAACCCGACCCCACCACGCATCAAATGCGTGTTGTAATACGAACTTATCACATTACAATGTCATTTTTGTACAAAATAATGCAGTAAAATTCAGTAAAATAGAAACGATGTATGAACATTAAATTACTAATAATGAGACATTTATTATTATTATATTATTAAATAAAAAAATTCTTTGCCAAAATAAATAATGATGTGCTTTCCAATATTAATTTATTTGGATGAAATTGCGAAGTCAAACATAAAATAAAAAAAAAGTTAAAAGTATTAAAGAATACATTGAAGTAAATGAACAAAAACGTAGAGATCAAAGTAGAGTGCAGAACATCTACAAAGTCTTCTTCTTTTGTTCGGCAAATCTTCCTGCGATTGGACCCGTTTCTATTTCTATTTACTCAACGTCATAATCGAATCTCCTACTTTAATCGAGCAGGACACTCCGACTCTGTAAAAGGGAGGAAGAGGTAGATACTGAAATCGGGCATCAAAAAAGTAAAAAGGGGAAAAAGGGAGGAGAAGGAATTAAGGGAAAATGAAGAAGAAGATCCGGCAACTTCGTGAAGATCCGTTGCCCAGTGACGTCACTCTTCATCAGGCTGTTGAAAGGAGTAAATTCATCACAATAGAAAACGGAAGCAGGTGACAATTCATGATATGTGGCTCACGTTTCAAATGTTGGGTATAACACTTACTCCCTCCGTAACTTTAAAATCTTCCCATTTCAAAAGTAGGTAGATTAAGAATAGTGAAAGATGGTATAAATTATTGAGGGTAAAATGGGAAAATAGTGGAATAATGTGGTGAAATGTAGGATAAATCCAAAAAAAGTAGTTGTAATAGTGTATTATTTTAAGAATTATTGAGGGTATGATGGGAAGATTTAGAAATGAGAAGATTTTTTTTGTTACGGACGAAAAATGAAAGTGGGAAGATTTTTAAGTTACGGAGGGAGTATGTCCTATTTTTGTCTGCCCGTCCAAAATAAGTCTTATTTAGGAGTTAAAAACTTACTACTCCTATTTACATACTCAGTCATTGATTTAGTCTTATTTGAGTCTTATTTCCTAATTTTTTTAAATTTATAAATGTGAATAGAAACACGATGTAATTTAACTATAAATGAATTTATATACACATTTTTTATTATTATTCATACTTTTTTAGTTTTTATTGGGGATTTCTGTTACTCCGTGTTTTATTTATATTATGTTGCTTAAATTATTTTAGGAGAATGTATTGAAATATTGAAACATATTTATAAAACCTCAATAGCCTATCACTAGTATCTTCTAAATAATCTTATTAATGATTTAGCATATTACTACTAACATTGATTTTCTATATTTCGTTTGGAAAATATTAATTTTTATATTAAAGTTCAAGTAAACCATGATAATTTACCAGTAACGCACCTTTACGTATTGGATTTCGCTATGGCGAAAGGTGTATCACAATTTCGGTAAGGTAAAGGTATGTATTTGTGCATACCGAAAATTTACAGTACGATAAATGTATGAGATATAATATCCGGTATATCGTACCGAATCACCCTGATGGATAGTCTACCCGGGGGGTATCTTATCCGAGGGGTTATTGCGGGAATAACTTAGAGAGAAGTCAGAGTAAAATAGGAGGAGAGAGAGTCGATTTATTAAATGAACTCTGCGTGTGGAGTTGAGACGTAGATCATGTTTTACAAGGAGAAATGAGCTGCTATTTATAGCAGCAATAAATGCGATGAGAGTACACGTGTCAGTGATCCAACGGCCGAAGGGTCACATCAGCCCGGTGGCACCGGCAGTGGTACGTCAACCGCATTGAATGCGGTTGGCGGATGTGACGTGGTATTAAATGCGGTGGTTGGTTGTCTCCAAAAGGAATCTTTGATGATTGAGCTAGTTCAGCCGAAGGCTCCTTGTGTAGCCGAGGGCTCCTTGTGTAGCCGAGGGCTCCTCGTGTAGCCGAGGGCTTTTCTGATGCCGAGGGCATGAAAATGCCGAAGGCTTATGTTTTCGCCCGTTTTCTCCCAGCAGCTTCTTATGCCAAAGAAGCTATCCTGTGAGTTCTGGAGCCTTCGGCCAAGGAGGCCGAAGGCACCGTAGTATGTATTTTGGGCTGCTTTGAGGCTTGGGCCATTGTATTTGGGCCTGAGTCGTTTCCTGAGCTCAATGGACTTGTGTAGGAGAAGTAGGAGTCTATGGGTCGGGGGCTCCCGGGCCATATACTCCATCAGGAGTCCCTCACTCCTTTTGCCGAAAGGTACTTGAGGGAAAAGGAGTAGAAGTGTTGATTCTTCCGGAGGCTTCATCGTCTGTTTGGGTGCCTTTGTTTGAGAGTCTACCTTCTGCTGGTAGACGAAGACTTCCCTCAGTCCCTCACATGCCGAGGGTTTTCTGAAGGAAGTATAACGCTTGTACGAATGCCGGGGCCTCTCCTCAGTCCCTCACATGTCGGGGGTTTTCTGAGGGAGGCGTAAATAATATCTGTATGTGTTGTGATGAAGGCTACCTCATTATCGTCAGTGACTTTGTGGAGCATCTTTAATTTTAGGCCTCTACCGAAGGGTGCAATGATGCATGTACCCGAGGGCTACATGCGTTATCCGTGGGAATATTTGTTTTTAGCCATGTGTGATTACCGAGGGGTGTGTCCCAGTCCCCCACTCCTTTAGGCCGAAGGCCAGTTCGGGCTGAAGGAGTTATGATGTGTCGATGCAAACCCGAGGGGTGGTAACCTTGATGAGCCGAAAGTTTGGTGAATTTCGTTGACTGAAGGCTGTGGCGAGTGATAGCCGGAGGCTATCATTCGAGGGCACCCCCAGTGTTGCCGAAATATAGTCGTTGTAATATAGCCGTTGGGAGAAGGTTCCACGTGGCGCATGTTCGTTGGCAAAAGGGGGGCGGGTGCCATCCATTGGTTGAACTGGCGGCCCGTAATGATGGCCCTTTTAAAATCGAGGCCCAGTTCTCGAGGCTGAAAGCCTATAAATACCCCAAGTCCGAACTCATCCCCTTGCGCGTTTTAGAATTTGAGGCGAAGCTCTGTCAAATTTTCTAGAGAGAGAAAGTCCCCTTTTCGATCAAACCCAAGAATTTTCCTCGATCCAAGGTCAGTTCATCCTTTGTTCTTGTTCCTTAGCGTATTTCTTGCTTCCATTTATTTAGATCTAGTGTTAGGGAAATCGTAGGGCCCTGAGAAATTATTTCCTTCCCAAAAACCCTACGACGACCATTCTCGAGCAATGTCTTCCGGTAGCGACTCTCAGGACATTTCAAGGGAGACTTCGGCACAGCAGGAGAGCTACTCGGATGTGGAGTCGTCGAGTGAGCAGCCGTCGGCTAATAACGACTTTGTGGTAGCTGAGGAGGTACAAAAAGCCCTTCGGGCCGAGTTGGAGGCCGAAGACTTCGAACAGGTGAATGAGGATGAGGAGCTGGCCCTCGCTCTGCAAATCGCCGAAGAGGAGGATGAAAAGGAGCGCCGCCAGGTGACAATTGCAGTCATGCCCTCTCGGGGTGCTGGTGAAGCGAGCACCTCCCGGCCGTTGGACGTGCAACCTCTCCGGGTAGCCGAGGGAAAGAAGAAGAAGAATTCGAGGGCTGCACCCAAGAAGAAACAAGCAGCCGTCGACGCGGGGCAACCGGTTGGGATCCCCGAGGGTCACTCCTATTTGGACACCACCGCCCTCGAGGTGAAGACTACGGCATCGGGTACTGAGTGTCAAGCACTACAGGTATTCGTCGGGCCTTCGGCGCAGGTCGTGGAACCGGGTCCTGAAGATCTGCTCTCTAATCCTCCCGAGGGGTGCTTCTCGGTGCACATGCTGTCGGTAGAGCTAGGGCTCAGATTCCCTCTGCACCCCTTCGTCATAGAGTATCTGAAGTTTGTTAAGTTAGCCCCCTGCCAGCTCACGCCCAACAGTCATTATTATCTGGCGGGGTTCCTAGCTCTCTGTCGAAGCCGAGGGGTGGTCGCCACATTGGACCAATTCTTCCTCTCCTTCAACCTCTGCCGGGGGGGTCATACCCATGCCGGGGGGGTATGCTAATTTGCAGCAGGTTCCGGCCTGGAAGCTGTTCTCGGAGACCCCCTCCTCCCACAAAGATTGGAAGGAGAAATTCTGCTACATCCGGATGACCGAAAATCCGTTCCTGGGGGCTCTGAAAAATCATTTCAAAAGGCACCCGAAGGTAGGCAATGCGGCCCTCGACAAGGCGGGAAGGAAACTGATCCAGAAGCCCGTGGGTTCTGAGAAAGTGATCGCCATTAAGGAAGCGACGCTACCCGAGGAGCTCTATCTGTTGGGCTTCCGAAGATACCGTCTTCCGGGGGAAAAGGACGAAAAATACCCTGAAATCGATCGAGGGTATCAGAATGCCAGAGGTTGTTCACCGAGGGCTTTTGTTGTGTTACTTAGAAAAATTATCCTTGTCTTTGTTTGATCCTAACCCTTCCTTCGTTTTTGCAGGTGACATAATGGACGTTCAAGCCTTCGCCCGATTGTCCAAGAAGCTGGCCAAGGTGCCGAAGAAGAAGAAGGACGAGGGGTCCTCGAACCAGCCCCTCGTCGATGAGGTGTTGAAGAAAGCAGGGGCTCCTAAAGTCCCGGAGGGTGGGGACCCCTCCAAAAAAACTGCTGCTGATTCCGGTACTGGTGCCGGAGGCTCCCAAGCCGGGGAGCTTAAGAGAAAAAACACCGGGAAGGGCTCCAAGCCTCCGGTGACTAAGAAGCAGAGGGGGGCCGATGAAGGTAAGGGTGCCCCCCTTGTGATCCTTGAAGAGCCCTCCTCCTCGCATCTGGTGGATCTTGACGAGGGGGCCTGGCCGCAAGAGACGGTGCGGTTCTCCTTTAAGAGGGGGACTGCCATCGTGCACGGCACCCTCGATCCGAGGGAATATCTGAAGGGTGCCACTCCCCCTTTGGATCGCTCGACCCTCGGCAAGTTCGAGGACGAAGCCCTCGAGCGAAGAGCTCTTGAGGCCTCGGTCACTGTAAGTCCCTTCCCCTCGCTAAGCTTATGCTTTGTTTTCTCATATTTTTTGCTTGCATGGTTTGACCTTGAGTGCCCTTCCTTTGCTTACAGGCCAGCCTGGCCTTCGGAGAGTATGTCCGGAGGATGGAACAGGTGCGTTTGGACAAGGCACAAAATGACGCTGCCCTGGAGAAACTCATCAGGGAGCATTCTGAGGCCATCAGGTGTTGCGCTGAGCTGGAGCTGGCCCTTAAGCAGGCGGGGGAAAAGCTCAAGGAGGCAGAGGAGAAGGCCCGAGCCGAGGGCAAGGCTGAAGCTGAGAAGGCGGCTGCTGAGGCCTCAATGAAAGCCGCCGAGGAAGCAGCAAAGGCCAAGTCCGAGGCCGTCTCCAAAGCCGAGAAAGATGCCGTTGCTGCCTTCCAATCCGAGGGGTGGAAAGCAGATGATTTGGAACCGTGGAGGGCCTCGGTGGTGGAGTCTTCAGTGGATGCTTGGGTGAAGGGCCCCGGAGCTGAGTGGATGGCCCTAAGGGGCAAAGATTATTTCGATGGGGGCGAGTTCTTCACCCAGCGCCTCATCTACCGGAAGCTGGCCGAGCATTTCAAGATTCCCAAGGACAACTTCGATCCTTCGGCTTATGGTCTTCCTCCCCGGCAGCCTGATGTGAGGGTCCCCCTCCCGGAGGGCGAGGAAAGGGTTCAGCTTGCGGACTCCGAGTTAATGAAGGAGTATGGCCTCCATGATGAAGAAGATGCGGAGGATGACGCAGCCTCGAAGCCGAGGGACGAGGCAGCTGCAGAATCCCAAGCTTGAATTTTCTAAGTATAATTGAATGTAATAGTGGTAGGCTCCGGCTTCGGCCTCGTATGTGAACAAACACCTATTTTGTATTTTGAATATTCTTTTGCGGATGAATGAATGCTCGCCTTCAGGCTTTTGTGAATGAATGCTTCCTTCATTTTGAACTTGAATGTATGCCCCTGTTTCTCTTCGCGTTTGTGTATGAATGAATGTATGTTCTCCTTTCCCTCGCCTGGTTTCCCGAAGGCCACAAGTTTGTGGACTTAGAAATTTTTTTGAGCAAAACTCTTGTCAAATCCTTCGGACGTGGAGCCTTCCCTAGAAAACAATCTAAGTAAAACTCCATTGGAAGCCTTTGGTAGAGAATCCTTGTAACGCCTCCGGGGTGGAGTGATAGAACCGAGGGCTAAAATTTTCCAAGTGGAATCGCATCTTATGCCCTCGGAAGCCTTGGAAGCCTTCGTTTAGTAGTGTAGCTTCTGGCCATTGCCAAGTAGTTTAGGAGGCCACCGGCCTTGAGTCTGTAGGTGAGTCCACCGAGGGGTTCGAGATTATGGACTTAGTGAAATTCTGAGATGTGTTTCCCACAGATCTTGTGAGTAGCCCCCCGGTTCGATGAGTGTTTCCCGAAGGATGCTAATACGTGGACTTAGAAATTCTTTCATCCTTAAATGAGTCTGGTGATATCCTGCCTTCGGCATGAAGCCTCCGGTTTGTGTAGACATAGGTTTAGCCTGCCTTAGAACTTTGTGTAGCCTTCGGCATGTTACATGGTTGACTTTGATCCAGCCGAAATCTTCTTGGGCCTCCGGTGGAAATCTTGTACTTCAAGGTTTCATGCAATGAAGCCTTCGGCTATGTAGCCAGATGAATTGTTGTTGCGAGACTTTCTTGTGCCTTGTAGGATCCTTCGGGAATATATGTCCAAAGTGTTGAGCCTCCGGGGAGAATAGTATCCGGGGAGTTCCTTCCCCCCTACACATCTTTTTTGTTTTTTTTTTTCTTTTTTTTTTTTAGATGGTGTAGGAGAGGCCTCTAGAAACTTGGTTTCTAGGAAAGGCTTGGCCTATATGGGAGGCAACGGAACAAACCGTTGGCTCCCCCTTCGGGAATGACCTTCCGATATCCCGAAGGGTTTGAGGGTCGTTTCCTCGGCCCGAGACATCGTCTGTTGCCTGCTTCCCCTTGGGAGATAGCACGGAAAGCGCCTCGGTTTTGAAAGTCGTCCCCTCAGCCCGAGACATGGTCTGTTGCCTGCTTCCCCTTGGGGGATAGCGCGGGGAGCGTTTCGTTTGTGGAAGTCGAATTCTGGGCCCGGGACATGGTCCGTTGCCTGCCTCCCCTTGGGGGATGGCGCGGAAAGCGTTCCTGGGAAGGGTTTTATTTGCGTGTGGAACACAAATAGCCGGGGGCACTTGGTACCAGCCGGAGCCGAGGGGTGTTGCACCCCCCGGTTTTTTTTTTTTTTTTTTTTAGGAGGATAGAGTATGTATAAGTATGCAAAATGTATGCCTGATTGCGTCCTCGTGGGGTACGGCTTAGTGAGAAAACACTTGGTGCTTTCAAAGAGTGATGGGGGTGACCCACATACTTGGTACTTGGTACCTAAATCGTTGTTCCCCCTCATGAGAGGAAGAGGCCCCGGGCCTATTTTGGTGGAGAGATGAGGGCTTGGCCACTCATTTGTAGGAGAGAAGGGGGCCTTGGGCCGTTTGTACAATATGTAGGTGATGAAGGCTTGGCCTTGTGATTATTCTTCAAAAACAGATAGGGCCTTGGGCCATTGATATTTACACTTGCTGAGGGTGAGGGCTTGGCCGCTCACGCCTTATTGATAGAATTTGACAAGGTGGTGCACATTCCAATGTCTAGGGACCTCCGTCCCATTGGGACGTTTAAGCTTGTATGTCCCTGGTTTGATGATGGCTGAGATGATGTAGGGGCCTTCAAACTTGGGCGCCATCTTTCCTCCTTCGGTGGGTAGACTGGCCTCCCTTCGTCGGAGGACGTAGTCTCCCACCTGGAGTTCCCGGGAGCGGACCTTGGCGTCGATGTAGCCTTTGACTTGTCTCCTATAGTTTTTGGCCCTGAGGAAAGCTTGCTCTCGGCGTTCTGAGATGAGATGAAGGTCGAGGGCCATGTTGGCGTCGTTGACCTCGGGCTCATGTTGCTCGACCCTTCGGGTGGGAAGAGTCACTTCTGTTGGAGCCTTAGCCTCAAAGCCATAGCATAGGGAGAAGGGTGTTTCGCCTGTTGCGCGCCGAGGGGTGGTGCGGTAGGCCCATAAGATGTTGTGTAGCTCTTCTACCCAGCCTCCCCCTTCGGCTTCCAGCTTCTTCTTTAACCCTTCAAGTAGGGTTCGGTTGGCGTTCTCTACTTGCCCGTTGCCTTGGGGGTAGGCAACGGATGAAAAGGTGTGTTTGATGCCCCATGCCTCCAGGAGGGCACAGAAGGGGGCTGCCTCGAATTGAGTCCCGTTGTCGGAGATGATTTGTTGGGGGAAGCCAAACCTTGTGAGAATATTTTTGAGAACAAAGTGGCGGCACCGGGCTTCAGTGATGCTGGCGAGGGGTTCGGCCTCTACCCATTTGGTGAAGTAGTCAATGGCCACAATGATGTATCTGTTGTTGGAGGTACCCCTCGGCAGAGGGCCCACTAAGTCAATCCCCCATCTGGAGAGGGGTATAGCGGTGCTGATGGGAGCATAGTTGACCGCTGGTCTGCCGGGGGCCTTCTGAAAGTGTTGGCAAGCGGTGCACCTTCGGGCTAGATCAGCACAATCTCTAGCCATCGTGGGCCAGAAGTAGCCCTGAACTATGAGCCTTCGGGACATGGAGAAGGGTCCCTGGTGAGCTGAGCAAGTGCCACTGTGCACTTCCTCCATGGCGACTTCGGCCTCATCTTGGTGAAGGCATCGAAGGAGGGTGCCGTTGTAAGATCTCTTGTAAAGCCTCCCGTTTTCGAGGGTGTAGCTGGGAGCCCTCAGTTTTGCTAACTTGGCGCGGGCTTCGTCTTGGGGCAGTTGCCCCGTGGTGATGAAGGTGATGATGTCAGAGATCCAGTCCTCCTGTCACGCCCCGGTCTGGCCGGACGCGCTAACAACCGCCGCATAATCCGATTAAGGCAACCGCAGTTCACCCTACTCGAACCATGCAAGGCGTACATGAATACCATTCACACTAGTACATCCATAAACAATCATAAATAAAGCATTTCAAATATACGCAGCGGAGTACAAATACTTTTAAAAGTAAAAGGCCACACAGGGCGAACATGAGCACGCAGGCTCCCAAATCATTTATAATTTAAAAATAGTCCATGAGCATTATTTTATTTATATCAAAATAGAACTGGAAGAAGCACGAACCACGTCTTCTCTCCATGGATCACCCGAAGCAACGGGAACAGGAAGCAAGCTCTAGCTTCTACCTGAAACTGTGAGGTGGCCTCCCCCGTGAAGGGGAGGTCAGTACTTGGAAGCATTTGACAAGTACAATGACAACTATACTGAATATAATTCATGTTTCAAACACAAGACCCTCAAAATAGGGTGATACTATATTATGGGCATAACCTACAGCTACCCCATTTCAAATCACTTGTATAGAATATATATACCAAGTCAAATAGCCGACCCGTAGGTCCATTTGTATTTCAAAACAATTCCCCTTGTATAGCCCTTGGCCTATTCTTGCATATAGCAATATCGAGAGGTTATCCCACCCCTAGTCTAAACCCAACTCCATCGAGAGGGTTACACATTTTATCATTTGTACTCGTCCACGTTGGACTTACCCACCCTACGGGTGTATTCATTCATTTTGGGCTTACACCCCCAGCATTATATCTTTGATTCATTTAGGGCTTACACACCCCGTATATTCTTAGTTGTGTAGGGCTTACTCACCCCGTATAATACTTTACTCATTTAGGGCTTACACACCCCGCGTAATACTTTACTCATTTAGGGCTTACACACCCCGCGTAATACTTTACTCATTTAGGGCTTACACACCCCGCGTAATACTTTACTCATTTAGGGCTTACACACCCCGCGTAATACTTTACTCATTTAGGGCTTACACACCCCGCGTAATACTTTACTCATTTAGGGCTTACACACCCCGCGTAATACTTTACTCATTTAGGGCTTACACACCCCGCGTAATACTTTATCATGTAGGGCTTACACACCCCGTATAATACTTCATTCATTAGGGCTTACACACCCCGCGTAGTATCCTCTATCTCGTTAGGGCTTACACACCCCGTATATATATCCCCGTATACTCATTGTACACGAGCAATCATAATCTATCAACCTCGGGCTAGTCTTCATCAAGACTCCCCGGGCTGCCTTCATATAGTCTAGGTAGACTCCACCATTTCCTTTGAGTGTGACCATAGTCCATCACTCATTCTAAGTTCATGCCTATCTAATTCAATACTATAGATAGCACGTACAATTAATCGCTACGGATTCATATCACTTTGATCATGTAAATAACTCAAGTATTCCTTACTTCGCATTTAATCATTTTGCCTATCCACATAGGTATCCATATATCCCTTTTTAGATCTTATGGAATCACACATTTATCAACATTTGTCTATATCATGCTAATCCTCTATATCCATTCAATAATTAATATATTTCAAGGATTTCTCCCCTCATGCATAATGCCTTTGCTTATCCACCTTAGTAATATCATGTATCAATTTGTATCACCACATAGCAACACATTTATTCACATTGGAGTATATCATTTAATTCCATCAAAATCATAATTTGATTACTTAGGTAATCTCATGCTCAACTCACGAGTTATAGACAATATAGTCAGCCATCCTCACCTTAAATAAGTCCAGCAAGGTTGCCTATTGAAGCCCCGTCGTTAAACCTTCGATCGGGAATGATCTGAATCCACCTTGGCTGGCAGAGGACAAAAGCCGCCCGGCTTTTGCAAAAGCTGCCCGGCTTTCGGGTTCTGCTGCACGAAAACAGCACCTAGAAGTGGCGGTTCCCGGCGATTTCGATTCCTATCGATTCCACAACTCTTCTAAGTTAATTACCAACACTTTATATCATATTTCTACACTTCTAAACGTGTAGAACATCCTCATTAATCCC